TAAAGGATCATATGATAAAAGAGATAAATGATAATGCTAAGACTAATAATAAGAATAATGAAATGATATGTATATGTATGTATTTGTGTTTTGATGCATAATGCATTCTATAGTGTTTTATGATTTCATGAAGTATGTATAGTAGGAATTAGTAATGATACGTTACAGTAAGTTGTTATGCCTCACTAAGTCATCGACTTAGCATGTGAGTGTTTCACACGCAGGTTCTGGGGAGCGAGAAAAGACGTTAAGAGGAGCAAGGCAAGTCAGATTCTCCTTTCCACTGACCAGATCAGAAATCTATTGAAGTATATGTATTTTTTTTATATAGAACATAGTTGGCATGTAATTAAACATTTGAATTGTATAAGCTCTGATATGTTTTGTAAAACCAATTGATTTTAAATAAATGAAAAGTAATCATTTTCCTGAATTAGGAATTTAAATTTTAGTCATTTTGTAAAGAAAAATGTTTGAAAAGTCAATGTGACACCTCGGACTCGGATCCGGGTTGGGGGTGTTACATAGGTGATTGAGTATCGATACCCATTCAAATAGTATCAATACCTAGGGTTCAACAGTAAATTTGATCGTTAGGATGCTCAGTCTAGATACCAACATCCTCGTATCGATACCAAATGTGCAGGTGAGCACTAACTGCTCAAAATTAATGATTCCAACGACTCAAATCAATCCTCAACAGCTCCAAACGGCTAGATTGATGTTAGAAGACATAAAAGGGAACAAGATTCAAATGGAGAACAATAAAAAAGTCAATTGCAAAATCAAACCAACATCAATAGAGTTGTAGAGCAAAATATTTCAGATTCTTTGTAACATATTTGTGACCTACATTGCTAAATTTGCTCGAGTGTGCTTTTTGGTGAGTGTTTAATTTGTGCAAACATATTTGTCTTTGTGAGGTTTTTCTTTTGTTTGTTAAATTTGTAATTACTCCTTGGGAGGGTGTGTATTCAAGGTTTTGGGTATAAACCTTGAACTGTTTGTAAAGTTACACCTTGTCCTTAAAGGTTTGCAAATCTAGTGGATTTGAGAAATTCTTATTGTGGATGATAAGGTAGTGGATGTAGACTTTGGTTTAGAAAGTCGAACCACTCTAAATTCTTTGTGCAAAAGTTTAATTTTTGATAGCTTCCACCACAAAGTTTTTAAAGGCCAATTCATCCCCTCTTGGCTATTTTGGTTGATTGATAAAACCAACAATATCACATGAATACTATTAATAATGACATGAACAATATCGATACTCTGGATCATTTTTATCCAGATTTCTTTGCATATTCAAGGGGTGCTTTGTGTATTGATATCAAAACCCATAGAAAGTCACTTTCAAGTTTATAAATCACTCCAAAAACCCCTTTAAACACTCTAAAGCTTAAGAAAATTACTTAGGATCATTTAACACCTAAACCATATGTTAACACACAAATAACACAAATTGAATTCAAAAACATGCATAAACACTCAACATGTTTCACGACCAATAAAGCATCACATTTAGAAAACACAAATAGTACTTCAAAGTTTAGTGTGCACTACTTTAAAGCTTGAAATTTGAAATGGAACTTATTTTTCAGCTTCCACCAAGTTGCTTTTTCCCTTTGGCACTTAAGGCTCCCAACTTCTTGCACTTTACAAATAATAGGGAAAAATGATTACTAATATATCTAATGGCTTGAGAGAAGTCTAATAATAATCGTGGATTCTAAAAGCAAACTAAGATGAGATAGCTAGCTCAAAGTCCTAAAATTTTCAAACACCCTTCTCTAGCCACATTTATTTCTCAAGGAGATCTTAAGTTCAAATTCAAGTTCTTGAAGTGCTGACCAAAGCTCTTACCTTTTTCAGTTCTGAAGGGATTCACAGTTCAATAAAAGGAGATGCTTGATTGACTCTAATAGGTTTGAGAGAAAGGAGAGATGATGACATAAAGAAGAGGGAAAAATGAAACAAAGACAAGATTGCTTTGCCCACTCACCTCATTCTCACGCATGATATAGACTAGAATTAATGAAATTTAGCCTTTGAAACAATCAAAGGTCTATTTACACAATAGGTTCTCCCTCATTTAGCCTCAACTCAAAATCTCTTCTTCTTTTTTTTATAGCTATTTGGGTTCAATTAGGCCCATATTTTGTTCAGCATTTCTAATTACTCAATCACAGGGGGCCCTAGTTCATTCGGATCAAATATGCAAAACAAAAAACTAAATAGATAAAGAAAAAGAAGAAAATATGACGGAAAAAACAAAATTTAAGGTAAAATATGAGTTTTGGTCAAACAACGCCACCCTCCTGGTAAAGAAAGAGAAAAAAAAAATCTAAAAACAAAAAAAAAAGCTTAAACTCTAATTGAACAAGGTTATTTTCAATTTATTACACAAACTATATTATTTGATAAAATGTAAAAATTAAATACTTAAAATTACATGCAGCATTAATTTATCATATGTCAATTTTCTTAGTATTGATACAAATGCGCTAAGAAATTATTTTTGATATAATGATATTTGAATTATCAAAATAATGCATATGTTTAAATTTTAGTGATAGTTGTTATTTTGTATAAGGATATTTTTTAATTATTAAAAATAATAATTAGTTTCATTAAATAAGTTACGAAAAAAATATAATAAAATTATAGTTTTATTAAAAAGGTATACAAAATTTAAAGTAGACTAAATACATTAATCAATTATTTTTCTTAACACCATTGTTATATTAATCTGGAGTTAAGTACAAAACAACATTTGTTCAAATACAACTTTCAACATTTTTTACACTGATGGCTCACACCCTTAGCATCTATAGTGCTTGAACCCATATCCGCAAGAAATAATAATAATTTTATTATCACGGAGGTCACTTGATTCGTGCTTCTTTAACACCAATTAAAGACATAAAATAATAACTAAATAATAAAAGCATGACCATAAAAGAGAATGATAAAAAATCAAACATTTAAAAAGAAATTAGAAAATGTGAACAAACACTATTATTGACTATGAGAGATAACATCATCAATATTAATTTAAAAACGAATATAACGACAACATTTCAATAACTTACTTTTTTTACAAGTAAAACACAATTTATTCGAATTTATTTTGAGTGTTTGAGAAAAATAGTTTAAAAATCTAAATAAAAGATAAAATTTAACCTTGAAAGATATATATATAGTTAGGATTCACTTATATTATGAAAAGTTTTTTTTTAAATTTTATACTATTTTAATATCATTGGATTGAAAAAATTAAAGGTTAAGAATAATTATTTTTTTAATAAATATATTCTTATTTTTTAATATTAATCCCGACTTTTAATTATATATATTATTTATTTAAAATGGTTATATTTATGGAGAAATGGGAGACGTAGAGTCATTTTCGTATGATGAAGTGGTCTTGAAAAAGCAAGGCGTGCTAAGGAGCTTCACGTTCCCCATCTCAATCAACCGGCAAAAATCTGCTCCCCCTTTTGTCTGTCTTTGCTTCTAAAAACGCACGCCGCTATCCAACTTTTTCTATTTCAAATTTCAGTTCTAATCACCTCTCATTGACTTAATAAAAATAACGATGATCTAATATTATAAAAATTTAATCCTTAAAATTTATATATTGTATCAATTTGATCACAAATTAAAATGATTTAATAAATATTTTATATTTTAAAATTATCTCAAAACTTTTCTTCGATCATTTCATGGTAATACACGATGATTAAAAAGAAACACTTTTACATGCTTTTAGTTCACCAGTTCAAAAGACCCATTATAATATGCATACTTAAGATTCAAAGATGTATAGGGACCACTAATGCTAGATTAATATTTTTGATTGAAATATTCCTTTTTCAAATATATAGAGATGAAAATATCCATTTCAATAATAGATGGATTAAAATGAAATTTTCAGAATAATAGAAGGGCATTTTAGTAGAATTTAACCTAAATTTTACATGATTTGACTTCCTTCCAATTATTTCATATTTGCCATTCACTACATTACACATTTTTTTTACCAAATTCTCTTCTATCCATTATCCCCTATGGTTTGCTTCCCATTTCATTAATAATATCATGTGTTTGTAAACACAAGCACGATGAAAGAGAGCGACTAATGATTATGTTTTCCCAATTTATATGTGCTTAATCTATATATCTCACGAGCTCACTTAATGTTTTAGTTAAGTCTAAAATAAAACATAAACATCGAGTTTTAAATATAGAATTTAATCTTTTTTAAACGCAATTTTAAAATCAACTTCTTATAATTTGAATTCATCTCGACTCAATTACTCATCTATTTACGATAAAAGATAAATAATAAAAATTACGTTACTCAAATTTAAAAGATAATGTCATATATCAACTATCCATTCTTCTAGTATGATGAGATGTTAGATTCTTAAAATATCAGTCACAGAAGCGAATGCATTAAGTCCTCTAAAGGTCAAGTGTATCCATATTGTTTTGGATAAGTTATTAAATTTAATTCAACATGTTTAGAAAAAAAATTTGTATAGTCATTTTGTTAAAAAATATTGAAATTTTGGTTCATGTTTTTAATATTTGTTTATATCTATTTTGTTAAAAAAATATTGAAATTTTATATAGGACAGAGGAATGTTTCACAACTCCATTGATAATACTTGGAAACTAAAGACCAAAAGCTGCTGGAAACATGATTTTAGGCCCACTGGTCAGCACGCGGAGCCCTAACATACACAAACTTACATAACTAAATCTTAAAATGTAGCAATCATAAGGTAACTTTATTGTTACCACAAAGTGTTTTATGTCTATGTTTTCTTGTCCCCCTAACCCTTCCCATGCCATGTTTTGCCTCTGGTTTTCGCAGCCGGTGGAGCCAGTGGATTCCCATTTTAACCCCAATTTCAAGGTAATTCTGATCTCCCATTTTATATATATATATATATATATATCGTCAACTTGTTCATCTCCAACGGGTAAAAGGTTAAAAACCCAAGAATTTTCAAGCCATAAAAGAAAAGCATGGAGGGGAAGAAAGAAAATGTGAACACAGCTTTGTTTACAGCAGGCATAGCTGTTTTAGTGGTATGTTTGAAACGTGCTTTACTGTTGTTCCTTGTTCAACAATGGCGGGCTTGGGTGTTTCTAGTGTTAAACCTGGTGCTTTTGGCTATTTTTTTTACTTCCGTGAACCCAAATTCAAGTCAGCAAGAAATCAACAGAAAAGATGAAGAAACGAAGAAGACAAGTGGGGGTTCGAATGAAGTTGAAGCATGCAAAGAAGAAGATCATGATGAGGTCGTCAATTCAAAGAAAAGAAGCAAAATTGAAGAAGTTGAGGAAATAGTAGAGAAACAACTGATGGTTGAAGAAGAGGAGGAGGAGGAGAATATTGAGGCCCTAAAGCTGTCAAAGGAGGAACTGAATGAGAGAGTGGAAGCTTTCATTGCCATGTTTAGGCAGCATTTGGCTTCGGATGCAAGAAAGGGAAGAAAACAAAGTGATTTGAAGAAGAAGCACATCAACCTTTCTGCTGATGGAGTAAATAGTTTTGTTTTGGAAGTCAGGTGATAATCCAACTGATTTTGGTCCAATTGATTCATTTAATCGATTTTATAAAGTAGTATTCAATGAATTTTGAATTTGAATCTCGATATTGTTTTCTTCCTGTTCCCTCTTTAAAGTTTCTTTCTTATATAACAAAAATCCAATTTGTCATTTGATTCAACAATTTTTTATGCATGAGAAACTCATCACAGTTTGCAGTTCTGTTGCATGTTCCCAAAGAAAGCCTAGCTACATAACTAACGTAAAGATAGAGAAATGTATATGAACAAAGACAACAAACCATTCTGCCAAAGTTTAGTTTAGAATGAATTTTTTAATAGTACGCGATGATTACGATGATTACAAGTTATTATTTATTAAAAATTTTCGTGGTCAATCAATAATACACGTATATTAAAAATGTTGTTGTTTGAACTTAAATTCGAGAACAACATTTTTTATAACTGAAGCTACTCAATAAGTTCGGACTTAAAATGTATAAAAGCAAACATAAAAAACTAATTTCAGTCCTTTAAAATAAATTTAGGCCAAAAAAATCCATCTTAACTAAAAAATTATGGGTAAACTACACGGGAGACCACCAAACTATGGTCATAAATCGATCTTGCCACCGAACTATTTTTTGTCTTAATTCGACCACCAGACTTTTTAATTAAATCAATCAGACTACTCTCCGTTAAGAAAAAAGGACTTGCTGACGTGTCCGTTAATAAAAATAACATAATTTTATATTTGGTCCTTAATATTTACATATTTTATCAATTTAATCACTGTTTTAATTTAATTAAATAAATTTAACTGTCCAATTAGAACATGACACATGTCAATATATGATTAGAAGGTTTATTTATGAATTTTAAATTATTTAATTAAATTTTTTTAACCAATCAGGTGGTGACACATGTCACCACCCCGATTGAAATGAAAAATTGAACAACCATTTTGCGCCCAAAGGGATTCGAACCTGTGCCTTTGGGGAGAGCAACTAGAAGCCCTAACCACTGGGCCAAAGCTCTCTAATAGTTTTAACTTACTACAATTTATATTTAATTTGTAAAATCTTGTTAATTATAAAAATAATTAAACAAATTATCTGCTTAAATAAATTATTTTTTCTTTAACCGTTAACCGAACCGAAATTTATTTGAAAATTATTAACCGAATTTTTTTCTTTAACATTAATCGAACCGAAATTATTTGACCGTTAATCGAACTGAAATTTATTTGAAAATTATTAACTGAACCAAATTAACCGAATTTTTTTCTTTAACCATTAATCGAACCAAAATTATTTAACCGTTAATCGAACCGAACCAAATCAATCGATTTTTTTTCTTTAACCATTAATCGAACCGAAATTATTTGACCGTTAATCGAATCGAAATTTATTTGAAAATTCTTAACCGAATAAAATAAATTTGGGTTCGATTAATGGTTAAAGAAAAAAATTCAGTTAATAATTTTCAAATAAATTTCAGTTCGATTAACGGTCAAATAATTTCGGTTCGATTAATGGTTAAAGAAAAAAATTCGATTAATAATTTTCAAATAAATTTCAATTCGATTAACGGTCAATTAATTTCGGTTAATTTGGTTCGGTTAATAATTTTCAAATAAATTTTGGTTCGATTAAAGGTCAAATAATTTCAGTTTGATTAATGGTTACAGAAAAAAAATTCGGTTAATTCGATTCAGTTAATAATTTTCAAATAAAATAATTTTTCCTTAACTGTTAATCGAACCGAAATTTATTTGAAAATTATTAACTGAATCGAATTAACCGAATTTTTTTCGTAACCATTAATCAAACTGAAATTTATTTAACCAAATAATTTAACCGTACAAGTCAAATACAAATTGTTGTAAGTTAGAATCATTGAGAAACTTTGGCCCAACGGTTTGGGCATTTGGCTACTCTCCCTCCAAAGATGCAAGTTTGAATCCCTTAGGGTGCAAATTGGTTTTTCAATTTTCCATTTCAATCGGGGTGGTGACACATGTCACCACCTGATTGGTTATAAAATCATTTAATTAAATAATTTAAAATTTATAAATAAAAACTTCCGATCATGTATGGACACGTGTCATATTCTAATTGGATAGTTAAATTTATTTAATTGAATTAAAATAGTGACTAAATTGATAGAATATGTAAATATTAAGGACTAAATATATAATTATGCTATTTTTATTAACGGACACTTCAGCAAGTCCGTTTTTTTTAACGAAGAGTGGTCTGATTGATTTAATTAAAAAGTTTGATGGTCGAATTAAGAAAAAAATAGTTCGGTGATAAAATCGATTTATGACCATAATTTGGTGGTTTCCCGTGTAGTTTACCCAAAAATTATAGATCCCTTTTATGTCAGTAGTCAAAATACCAATGTCATTTTCAGGTTATCGGTAAAAAGAATAGATAATTTCTAAAAAAAAATCAAACTGTTTTTTTCTGAAAATTTGACGATTTCACTTTCAATTATATTAATGCATACTTAACGTTCAAGCTTTACGCCTTAGACTCTAAGCAACTATTTAAGATAAGTTTTAATAATTGAAAACAACTTTTACAGGTATTTAAAATTAACAAAGACTTCAAAAACAAAAAACCATTTTTGACCACCTCAAAGTTTAACATGTCATCCATACTTTTATGCTCTAAATGCAACTTATTTAAGCATGTCAAAGGTTCCTCAACTATATAATACTCAAAAACCAAGCAATGAACAAATCATATATGTACCATATGATAAGTTTTGATTATATTTACAAAAAAAAAAACATGCATGAATTCGAAAATTTCATATGCAATCCATGTCATTACTAAACACGTATGCATATACATACCAAAAATGAGTTACGCACTATCATAAACATACCATATACATCGCCAAAAACACAACACTAATGTTTTTAGTACTAATCAAACTATATACACGCCATTAAGATTTCAAGAGACAAAAATATATTTAAAAGGATATAATGTAACTTGGCTCGTCTAACGCGACGTCTAACTTAAAAAATCATTTATCTACGACTTGAATCTGCGTGTGCAAAAAAAAATCCATACACTAAGCTCATTGGACTCAGCGGTGCCAAACACAAGCAAGTGATCATAGTAAAAGTATAATACTTCAAATAAATCATGTAGCTAAATAACATATACTATACTACTCGAACAAGTTACGGTCGTAATCTTATATTTAATTCCTGTTGGAAAAAAAAGTGAATTTAATTGATAGATTTAATATTTATATTAAATTCATAGTCTTTTTGACTATTACAAATTAAAAGATCATTTTTAATTTAAATATTAGTAGGATAACTACTCTTTTAATAAGTCAATGTAAAAAAGATATTTGTTATATTTTTAATTTTAAATATTAAAAGATAATTATATACTTTTGTATATTTCAAATTAAAATAATATATGTTTAAGTTTGAATAGTAAAAGGAGTTTACCTTTTGACCATTGTAAATTAAATATATTATTTTGAATATTAGTGGGATAATTACTCTTTGAATATGTCAATTTAAAAAAATATTTGTTATCTTTTTAACTTTGAATATTAAATATAATTATATACTTTTGTATATTTTAAATTAAAATAATACATATTTAAATTTGAATGGTAAAATGAGTTTTATCTTTTGAATATTTCAAATTAAAAGATATTGTTATCTGTTTAATGTTGAATATTAAAAGATATTTAGTTGGATTAAATCTCTCTTGAAAATCCCCTATAAATAGTGAGTAAACTTGTTAGGTTTTTCACATCTCAAAATATCTCACAACTTAGTTTTCAAGAATTTCTCTTATCTTGAAAAAGTTTTCTCTTTCTATAGTTTTTCCGGTGATAGTTGAAGGTAATGATCGCTCGTGATATGTACAGGCGTGCTACTGTAGCTGATCATTAGTTGTTGTATCATGAGAGACAACGACTAACGAAATCGAGCACTAAATGAGTGGCCAAAAATATGTCTTAAGTAAACTGTGTAGCGATAGACCTCAACTGATTCCAATTGATAGATAAAAAAAAGGAGTGTTTTATTTCTATTTGTTTTTATCTTATCTTCTAATAAGTTTAATCTTTTTGATTTATTTTCTCAGGATTGATTTCGTCTCAAATTATTATTTCGGATAACAATCTCAAGATAAGAGTAAACTCGTTCTCTCTTATCCCTTCGTCCCTTTTAATTTTATAATGATATTTATTTTTTTATTCATTATTATTTTTTTATATTATTTTCGGATTAATGCGTGCGCAATTTTTCTAACAATTACATCTTGTTACATTCAAGAACTCGTCTCATTTTAAAAATAAACCATATAACTTGTATTCCTCAACAATAAACAATTCCTCAATATACCTTTGTATATTATGTCGACACAATGGCCAGGTACTATAGCGCAAGAGTATGAAACCAGTATAACACAAAGTGCATTATAGTCATGTAGCGTAGAGCGCGAAAGAACCGTATAGCACAAAGCGTGATATAATCATATTACTACTTTTCTAATATAATAAAAATTTTATTTGACATATAATTTAAGTAATTTCATATCATATAAATATATTGCACACTACTGTGGATACTAATTTTCATCTGGCCCAAAAACAAGTGCAAATGGCGGCCCAACAGTGAACCCATTAGCAGCCCGACCTGAGACTGACTCGAGACCCGATTCAGCCCCAAGGTGTAACCCGAATCAACTAGGGTTTGAAACTCGGTTTAGCAGCCGCACCAAACGCGCATGGAATGGGTAAAGCCAATGGTAGCCCTCGAGTTCTCCGGCGCCGTGGATTTATGGGACACAAAAACAACCAATAAACCAAGCGTTTTAGTTTTAATGAAACTCTAAAAATCAAACTAAAAATAGCCTATTTTTTTACTATAAATACGTGTAAACAACACACAAAATGGAGAAGGGAAATACAAGAAATATGAGAGGAAGCATTTCGAAACAGGGGGCATTCGAAAACGGGGGAGGAAATCGAAAGAAAAGAAGCCTTACCTTGATCGGAGCTCATCTGAGGAAAGCCAAACGGTCGTCGGATTTTCATTTTTTTCGAAGGTAA